TATCCTTTCTACTCTCTCCAAGTCTTTATCTTTTTTTCCCAGTTGCTTTTCTACTTCATGATCTCAGTGGTTCTTTTTTAATTTTTTGTTATAATTAGCTATACATGACAGCAGAATGCATTTGGAGAAGTCTCCCATCTTTGAGGAATTTGTTTCTTGCAGATAACTTGCAGTTGAGTCTTTTTTAAAAATCTACTTTAAGAGTCTGTCTTTTAATTAAAGAGGTGAGACCTTTTATACTTAGAGTTATTATAGAGAAATGTTTATTGTTTCTTGTGTTTTTGATTTATTTCTAATGTTTAATCTAATTCTATTTTTTTTACTTAATTACTCTTTTAATGACATTTATCTTTCCTGAGCTCTGGTGTTTTTGTTTTTTAACTTCTCTGTGTAAGATTTTTTAAGATATTTTGAGTTATTGGCTTAGTTGTTATAAATTCTTTTAGTTTATACTTATCTTGAAAGGTTTTAAGTTTCCTTCAATTCTGAAGGATAGCTTTGCTAGATATAGCATTGTTGTTTGGTAGTAATTTTCATTTATTTCTTGAAACACATTATTCTATGACCTCTTGGATTTTTAGGGTTTCTGAGAAATCTTATGTTAATATGATTGGTTTATCTCTAAAGGTGACTTGTTTTTCTCTTGAGACTTTTAAAATTCTATTTTTATTCTGTATATTTAGCATTCTATTCATAATTTGTTATGGAGAATTTCTTTTTTGATCTTGTCTAGTTGGGATTCTAAATGCCTCCTATATCTGCATGTCCATAATATTTTCAAAGTTTGGAAAACAATGTTTTTTTCCTTGAATACAGTCTGAATATTCAAGGCCAGCCATCCTTTTCAGGCTCTGAGAGTTGGTTTTGTTCTTGATCTGATCCATTGCTATGACTTTCAACTGAATTTTTAAAATTAGATTTATCAAGTCTTTCATTTCTAAGATTTCTGTTTTACTCTTCTTCAAAACCTCTGTCTCTTTATCGAAATGCTTTTTCACATTCTATACTTTTTTCTATAGTTCATTCCTTAGATCTACTTAGATCTTGTTCTAATTATTTCAACAAGTGATTCTTTGGTTTCTTTGTCCTGAATTTCTTCTACTTCAGTATCTGTGGATTCACTTTTTGGAGGACTATAAATTTTGGAGGTGTCTTGTTGGACTCTTTCTTCATTTTTTCTGATGTCCGATGTTTGTACATCTGTTGATATGCATTCCTTTTACATGCAGGGTCCTTTAGTGGTTAATTGTATCTTTAGTAGAAGTCCCAGGCTGGGGAATATCTTAGCTTCAGCATGTCCAGTCAGCACAATCAGAGCCTCATGTCCAACTGCCAGTACCACTTTGGGAGGAGATAGTAACTGCCAGAAAGAGTGGTGATTCAAGAGCAGTCCGCATCAGCATACTCCATGAAGCTGCTGCTGCTGACCTCTCTACACCTCTCAGCCAAAGGGAGAAATAATCCAGAATGGGCTGAAGAAATTAAATATTAAATATAACAGACTAAATTCAATTGGAAGAAGGGATAAAAAATAAAATAGAAAAAAAAGGTTGTGGGGGCGGGAAGGGAGAAAAAAGATAGTATGAGGAAAGAAAAAGGATGAAGGAGAGGAAAAGGGAATGAAGTCAGTAAACAAGAGAAGAACTGTTGGGAGAGGGTCCAATTAATTGACAAAACATGTAAAATTAGAAGTGTAAAAACACAGTATTTGGGAGTTCACTAGAAATGAGTTTAAATCAAGTAGTTATTGCAATAGCAGTCGTAAAGAGATTTGGTTTTCTTCTAGCTGAAATTTTTAGAGTGGAGACATTTCTCTCCAGGTTTTTGAATTTAGAATCCTTGGCTGTGAAGCAGTTTGTGTGACAGTAACATTGTTCTGTTTAATTTTTCTCAGCTTTGACCCAGATTGACCAAACTTGTTAGGGCTTCGTTGAACACTTTCACCCCCTTTGCCTGGCAGCATCTGTTGGGGGAGTGTTGTCTGTTTTGGAGCCCTTAAAGTGGCTTTGTTATTGTGACCTGAATGGGAGTAGAAGTCGGGCACAGCTGCTGTCCAGCCCTCCGCCCTCTCACCCTGCAGCCTATAGACTGGTTTGGACTGTGCTGCGTGTCTTGTTCCAAGAGCTTCAGTCTGTGTGCTGAGGGATGTGTGTGGGATGCGTCAGTCTGACTTCCAGGCACCTCTGGCGGTGGGGCAGATTGTGCGGGTTCCCTCGGTAGGTTGTGGTGGGTTTAGTGCTTTCCACCTGACCTTGATAGTGCCCATCTCTGAACTTTTTCAGCATGCTGCTTATCCCAGAGCCCAGATCAACAGATGCAAATGAAAGCACCCTTAGCTTGCAGACTTGTAGACTGGCAGTTGTGGTTCCCACAGCCCAGACCTCCAGTCTCACTCTTGTGCACAGACTGACTAGAGTACGTGGGCGCCCCTTGATCCAGTGAAAAGAAAAGCGTAAGTGGCTCTTGGGTACTCAGGAAGCCAGCATACCAAAAACAAGACCAAAATGAATGGGGAAAAAAGTGTAGATCAGTATGAAAAAGGTAAATGACAGGTGTTTCTAGATTCTACTCAGGAAGTCTAAACAGTGAGTCTTTTTAAATTGTCATCACTTTCCTACTTTCACTATCTGCAATGGAGGGTGCTGGACTTCTCTTGCAATGGCTCATCTCATTGTATCTGAGCTTATTTTCTGTTTGGATTGTGAATTGTTGGGCAGAACCTGTTTTTATTAAATTTGGTGGGAGAATTCAGCTTGTTGTGCCAAGTGTGCTGCTTCAGTCTTTTCTTTTTATTAATTTTCTTTTTGTTCTAGAAACTGATATTTCAGGTTTTCCCCTGATTGCTTGCACTGAGTGCCTACTGGCATTTACCATAGTGTTCTTACCCCAACATGCTGCCCTTGCACTGTGGTTTAATTCAGTCTTGGGGAGTTGCTATGATGCTATTGTTTTCTTTGATCTGCAGTACGCTGATTTTCTCCAGTGTCATTTGCTCTTTCAGACACAAAATTGTCTGTGGTATAAAGTTAATAGTTGAAAAGAAAAACTTTATGTAGGATGTGTGTATGTGTGTGTATAATTTTTTGAACTGGATTACTACTAGTGGTTAGAGAGTAGTAATTTGCATGATGAAAAAATATTTATATAACTCATTATTGCTTGCATTTTCACCTTCTATGTTTTATTTAAATTCTACTAATGTTTCTAGTAGCTTTTAACGAAATATTATTCTTTATCATAAATTGAGAAAAGAATTTGTGATATTTCTTCTAAGAAGTAGTGTAGAGTCATTACTTGGATATATGTGTCCCTCAACAGTAATTCGTCTTTTAACTTGAATTTTGTTTTCTTAAACCTCAGTAAATAAAATGTAAATTAGGATGAGTTTCTTATTTTGTTCAGCAGTTTGGTTATTTAATTTTATCAGAATTAGGTATGTTGACAGAAGCATATAATATATTTCTTGTACAGACTCAAACATTACAAGATAGAAAATTCTTTTTACGCCATAATTAAAAGTAAGTTGTGATGAAGTGAAAACTAAAATTGGAAGTGAATTATAATTAGAAGAAAGAGGAACGTTTTGGAAAATGACTGCCACTAATTTTAATAATAAATTTTGTGTTATTCTACAGGAATGTTTGGGTGTCCATAATGTCACTAAGCCTGTATCTTCACTTTGTAATGGAATTCATTTTCTACTTCATCCAAAAGTTCTGTATGAAATTTCTGCTTTTGGTATGCAAGAACCCCAAAATGAGGTATGACATGTTAAAAATAAGAGTAAAATATTACACAGCCAAATGAAGGTAATATTCTAATAAAATTGTAAATTATCACGAGAAACTGATATTTGTCTTTGATATATTTGTTTAGTTGAGTTTTTTTTTTTTTAAAAACCAGGAATTGAACCCAAGGGTGCTTAATCATTGAGTCACATCCCCAGTGCTTTATTTATTTATTTATTTAGTTAGTTTTATTTTAAGACAGGGTCTTGCTAAGTTTCTGAGACTGGCTTTGAACTTGAAATCCTCCTGCCTTACCCTCCTAAAGTGCTTAAAGTGCTGGGATTGTAGGTGTGCGCCACTGTGTCCAGCTAGTTGAGATGTTATTTATATAAAGAAATACTAAAGACAGTGTGGGAATATAAATATAAAATGCACTTGATCTTTAAGAATTCAGGTCAATTTACTTATGGTTTTTATCTGATATACAGAGAACCATAGTGATAGTAAGTAGGTTATGACAAATTTTTATTTTTATTTATAAAGATAGAAAAAAGTGGAGATCATTAAGGGAGAAAATCTCTAAGTGGAAGTCATTAAGGGATAAAATGTAAGATGATGCTGTGGAATTAGGAACATTTAAAGACAGAGATACTAGTTGTGGGCCTTTCTAGGTTGTGTGAAGCATTGCAGGTGAGTGAGCGGGACAGCTCGTGTTGGTGGACCATTGTGTCTGTTGTTGAGCAGGTGAATGCTGCTGCCAAGGCCATTCTGCTGTATCTGCTTCAGGGACGAATGATGATGACACTGCTGACCTGGAACAAGTTTATCGAGTCTCTCTGTCCTGTCCTTCCAGTACTGCAGGTACTCTGTGTAGTTCACCTTTTATAATACCATTTATCTTTGGCTGAATGTGAATGATTAAAAGCATGCAAGCAGCATAACTGTCATGTTGTGAGAAAAATGAAGAGGTGCGGGGAAGGCACTGTGGATAAGTGAACAGAAAGGGGTGGCTGTCTTATTTCTGGCAGAAGGTTAAACAAGGAGAGCTAATTTGTCCATGTATGCTTTATGCAGGTGGGAGGTTAAAAAGTGAGGTGCAGGCTGTTAGTATTGATGTGAAAAACAGAACGCAACCTTCTATAAAGGATTTATGCACAGCTAACAGTGCTTTCCAAGCAGACATTAATTACATTACTAATCTGCCTCATGAGTTCTGTTTGTGCCTGTGTATGGTTTGAGTGATTTCTTGATTAACAAGCTCTTAGAAACAATGCTTTTTGAGCAATCTTTCTGGATAAAAGAAGGATGAGGGAAGTTCAGATCCTTACCTCCCTCAGATGAAAAGGTGGAGATAGGAGATACCACCATAGGCATAGCCCTTTTTCAGGAGAACCCCAGAACCCAGGACCCAGGCCTCCATCATTGAAGCTCACAGGACCTGTGTCACGTACAGAGTATTTGTATCACTCTCTTTTACCATGGGGACAGAGTGAAGTACCTCATCTAGGGGATGTGCCACCACTACATCTTGGAAAATAGAAAAATCTGCATGTTTCAAAAATGTTGACATAATTTACTGAAGTTCTTTACTATTATTGTTTAAATATAGTTGTTCTTTTTTTTTTTTAAATACAGTTCTATTTAGAATCCTTACTTTATATAGGTTATTTTAAAAAGTCACTGGTTTATTCAGTTGAATTATAAAAAATTTATGAGTTGCATGACAATTATTGTTTATGAGTTTATTTATTATAATTTATGAGTTTACCTACAATTATTATTTATAGGTTGAATAATATGTATAAATTTAAATAAGAATTTCTCTTAAAAAATTATTAGGGTTATGCCGACCTAGAAGACTCTTTGGGTAACTGCATTCTCCTTCTGAGCCAAGCGGGTTCTGAGGCAGGAGAAGGCATCCTTCCTTGTACTACCCGGCTAAAGTCTGTCCTGCGACTCTTGCTGGTGAAAAAGCTATCGTGAGTACAGTGTGATGTTTTGAATATAAAAGATAAATGGAAACCTTCTAAGGAAGTGTGGTGATTTTATCAATCTGAAGGAGCATCAGATTAAAGGATGTAATGGAAGATTATTCTGTGTTGTTGATGGAAGAAACTAATATGTGAAATCAAGAAGATGCATGGTTCTTGATGTTTTCCTGAAATATTTCATCCATTTTGTAGCCTACTCATCCCTTGCCAGATGAGTCTGTGTTGAAGTTCTGCCACTCAGTGCTGTTCACTAGTGCTATAGGCAAGTTGGAGAACCATGGAGATTAGTAAGTTGGAAAACTATAGTGTATTCTCATCTTTTCTTTAGAAATTATTAGTTCTTGAAATGATCCTTTTCTAAACATCTATTCTGAAAATTAAGTTTCCAAAAAGTATTTGAAAAGCCTTGCTAAGCTTGTATGAGATAACTCATAGAGTGGTGAATTATTTTAACCTCAGTTTGTGAGAAACTAAAATGGTCTTTTCCTTGACTGTTGTTAGAGAAGATATTTTGAAGTAAAAGAAAAGAAAAAGCAATTTGCAATTTCCTTCTTTCTCTGTCAGTGCAACATGAATCTTCTCTATTGTTCTCTTCAGGCAACAGTGGTTAGATTTTCCTTAATTGAGAAGAGAAACAAGTTTAGAGTCAACATGGACAAGCAGTGATGAAGAAGAGTCAATTGAAAAGGCTGGCAGGATCAGCAGACATTCTTTTGACAAATGGCTAATTTTTTTCTCCAAACCTTACATTAGGATAATATAGCAGTTTATTTGGAAATAGATGATTAGACTGAAAATAAGAAAGTAGGTAGAAATAAACTAAAGTGTTAAGGAGATGGAAGGAGGAAAATCAATGGAAGAGATTCTAAAAAATATCTGTAAGGTATGCAGAGTAGGGTTATAGAAAAATTAGGGCAGATGGAACTTGCCTCCACACGTTTCATAGTTCCTGAGCAGGGTGTTTATCATGTACTAGTGTAAAATTATTACTTATTCTAATCTCCAAGTTGAGCAATTTAACACAATGGAAGTTTATTTCTTGTTCACTTGAGGGGACCCAAGGTCCCTAGGTCAACAGAGACACTCTTAACAGGCAGGATGTCCCCAGGAGCTTAGGACAAGGCCAGGACTTTCTGGGTAAAATAATTCTGTGTTATAAAGAACTTAAAATAATTTGAATTACACATTCATTTTCCTTATTTGATTAATTCTGTCCCATCCCATTAATTCTGTAAATTCCATGTAGGCAGGAACCCTATTATTGGCCAATCTTTGTATCTTCAGAAATTGAGTACTTTATACATAAAAATACTCAAAAAGTAGTGAGAAAATTGGATACATTATTGGGACAAGTGAATTTTGCTACCCTGTGCTAAACCTAAAAATATACCAAATTTATGTCAGAAAAGAAGATGCACGAAGATATGCTTTACATGATTCTATTTCTACCCTTCTTTTCTAGGGGTTGAAACTATCCATAAATTTAGAATCCCAGATGTTAATATAGGTATTATTGGTGTAGAAAAAAAGAACAAGTACATGTCTACACCTGTGCCCTGCCAGCTGGGTCTTCTGTGTTGCCCAGGCTTGTCTCAGATTCCTGGCTTAAGTAATCCTGTCACTCTACCTCCTGAGTCATAGGATTACGATTTTGCACCATAGCAAACATCCAGTTTAGATGTTCTAGCCTTGCTAAGCTTGTATGAGGTAACTCATCACATTTGAGAGGGAGAAAGTTACCATCTTAGAGTAAGTGTTAGTCTTCTAGAGATGAAATCTGTTAATAATAGTGTAGTAAATATCTTATATTAGTTTCAGAAAGTGTTTGAGTGTTTCCATTTGCCTACAAGGTGTGGTCAAATGTGGGAATGTCAACACTGACTTGGGCCCTGCCCTTCCAGAATTTGGCCTATAATTGGAAAGATAGATCTTATTAACAATTATACTTTATTATTGGTTTTAATAAAGTGAGATAAATGTTAACAATTTAGGTGACTTCAGAGTGACAGGTCCACAAACAGCAAGGTAACTTTTCTAGTCTGTTGGAGAGAGGTCATGTTGTAGCTATGGTCTTGTGGGTAGTACTTAAAATCTGTTGGCTTGTACTATTACTTAAAATTGCTGTATTTCCTGGTAGTTGGAGAGAACCTACAAGAGGAGTGACAGATGACATGTTATTCCAGTTTCTCCTACTAGTGACCTTTGTCCATTGGATGGTTTTCTCTTTTTCAGTGCATTGTCTAGTGGCATGTAATGTTTAATTTTTTCTTGAAAAACTTTCATCTCCCCATTTAACTGACTTAATTCTGTTCCATTTTATATAAAGAATTATAAAAGAAATTTTGTATTTGAAAGTAGTCTGTTTGACCCAAATATAAGAACATTTTCAAACATTGTAATGATGTTATACTTTAGTTATTAGCTTAATTACTCTCCTAGAGTTTTAGATTTATTATTTGGAATTGTTTATTTAGATTTATTATTTGGCATTTGGTCATGAATCCCTGATATGTTTTGAGATTGAGATAGATCACTAGATTTGAAGTCAGAAGTTAAAAATTTAATTTTCAGATTGTCTTTTTTAAGTTGACTCTGCTATGTAGTCTCAGTGAGTCTATCAAGTTGGTAATTCCTGATTTTGGATGTTTATTTTTAATTGAATAAATAATTTTAGTCATATGTGAAAGACTTTAATAGAAAAAGGAAAATATTTTTGGTAAGGCAGTATTAATAAGTATGACTAATTTGCTGTGTTGACATACAATAATTCTTGGGAATTATATAGGCCTTTTATATAGATACTTAAATATTACAAAGTATTGACTTAAGTGCTTCCTGTTTTTAGGGTCCGTTCACTAGCTTTGAAGCTTTTAGCATTTTATCTTGCCAATGAAGAAGGGGCTGATACAAAACGCCCCATAATAGATGCCAGAATTCTTTCCAGAGTTACTAATCTATTTATTGTGAAGAAACCTATTGAACTCAAACTGGATGACAGAAAAGAATTGCTTATTAAGGTAACTGTGACTTTTTTAGTTTATACTCTGTGGTTCTTTGAGGCATTTGTACATCACATATTTTTATGACATTTTTTTAGGTTATATGTGCTAGTGGGAGGATGCTGGTGATTCAGGGCTGGGTTCTTCTCACTTCTAGCTATATTTGTTAATTAAACAAGTATGTCCTGCATGTCTATTGTATGCCAGCAATTGTGTCCCTTTTAATTTAGTGTATATATTAGATATGCAAATTGTTTTGAATAGTGTCTTAGATATAGCATAAGGCAAATATAGTACAAAGAAATTTTGTGATGATTTAAAAATAAATATAACAGACATAAAAACTATTGAAAATTTTTCCTATATTGCAATTGCCTATAATAGCAAAAAAGGGAGAAGTTCTTTTGACAAAAAGTTTTCACCTCTTCATCTCAACAAAAAAAAAATAATATAGAATGCAGAGGCAGTTTCTCTTAAATATTATGATGTTTCTGAGATTTGTTGTTGTTGTTAATCTTTTTTCCTAAATCTTAAATAGCTTCACAAGTTTAGCATCCATTTCCCTGTCTTTAATCAGGAATGCTGTACATCATGTGGGACACATAGAAAAGTCTGAAGAAAGTTGACCATTATCTTCATTAATACATTCCTGTGTTTTGTAGTTTCTCATTTCACTTCAAGTTTGCAACCTGTCAGTTTTTATTTAAGTTTAGATAAGTTCACCAGTGCTAGTACAATTTTTTGTTGTTGTTGTTTTGTTTTGTTTGTTTATTTTTAAGAGGAAACACATTAGTTGTTTCGTAATCTAAATGTTAAGGGCCAGATGACAGTCCTGGCAGAAAGACTGGAGAGTCTTCCTCTGGCCACATGTAAGGTCCAGTTGGGGAACTGCTTTGTACTAAAGCACTGATAGTCACTGTTTATCTTGTATGTAGTTTGTTGGAAGGTGGAGAGGGAAAATTTTGTCTTTTGTGAGTCCTTAGGCTAGATGATAGCATTAGGTGGGAGAAAGGAGGTTGTCTTTATTGTGTTTGTGTTGCTGGGTTTGATATTTCAGATTCTGTGCTGCCATGACATGAGCTAGTATCAGGCTCTGTCACTTCCTTGGACTTGTCTATTTCAGGGTCTTTCAGAAGGTAGGAAGGTAAAAGGCCAGGGCATTTCCTGCTGGTGGCTTTGGGAGCAGGAGGGAGGTACTGAGTCATAAGTCCAGAAGGCCTTTTGCACGATGTTAGCCTGGTGTGACTTGTAGAGAAGTTAAGAAGCATGGGTGTCTCCCGTCAAGTTCTCAAGGTGTCTAATGATTGAATGGGTTATGAATAACTTCCTGGCAAAATATGATAAGAGAGGCTATTTGACATGATGGCTCTTTGTTTTATACCCAAAGTTCTTCCCTGACCTACTACACTACTGTTGCAAATTTACATGGTACTTAAGTTGACTTTTCCAGATTTTGGTCTTACAGCATAAACTGTGAAATTTTATAAAGAGAATTTGAAGCAGGTAAAAATGTAACTTATTTATTTTTTTTTGGTTTGTAGTTGGACACTGTTGAAAAAGTACATGAAATTTTCACCTCAGATGATGTTGATCTTGTTTTGAGAAAGTCAGCTGCAGAACAGTTAGCTGTGATTTTGCAAGGTAATATCTGTGCTGCTTCTGATAGATTTGAGATTGCTGTGTGTAGTATGGTCAGGTCTTGGCACAGTACAATTGTGGGTCTCATGTAGCCTGTGGCCTGTTTTTTGTTTGTTGAGTGTTTCTTGTCTTCAAGTTAAGAATGGTTTTTACATCTTTAGAGTTGTTAGATAAACAGAAACCAAGACCAAAGACCATAGGTAGCCTGCAAAGCCTAACATATTTACTGTTTCTTTACAGAAACAGTTATACTGTGTGCGTGTTCATATATGTAAAAACAAATCCCACCACTATGTACAACCTTAATGAACTAATACAAAGTACATATCCATAAGACATATATGTAGATCATAATTTGATCCACAATACATCATTTGGTAGAATTATCATATTCTAAAATATTGATAGAATTTTCACAGAAAGTTTTGTTCCTTTTCTTTTTTAAAAATTTATTTTTATTTTTATTTTATTTTTTTAGTTGTCAATGAATCTTTATTTGTTTATATGTGGTGCTGCGAATTGAACCCAGTGCCTCACACATGCTAGGCAGGCAGGCGATCTACCACTGAGCTACAACCCCTTCCCTTGTGTTCCTTTCTTAAGTTACTCAGTACATGTTGTTTTCA